ATACATGAATCTGTTTTCTTATTATTAACAAATTCTCATAACAAAACAAAAGATTGCCAAAAATAAATAAATAAGTGCTTTAGGTAACATCTGTAATTACCCTCCTTTGTTTTTTTTCTTGGAGAAAATCATTACCCTGATTGTGCTGTAAGCATTTTTTCCTAAATAATTTTACCAGGTACATGTTGATCCCTAAATGACATTCAAGGGCTTTTCTTTGTTTGTTTCATAAAGTCAGTGGAAATTAATCTGATCAAAAGTGTGTATGTCTGCAAAATATGTAAATTGACAATGTAGTTCACGCAATGTTTCACCTTTTTCTAAAATAATTTTGGCCATTTTCTTTATTTTCTTCCATTTTCATACTTTTAAGAATCTGCTTGAAGATTTCCATGAAAATGATCCATGAGGCTTTTGCTAGGATTGCATTGATTTTTAAGATCAATTTTGGGCCCAGCACAGTGGCCTATTGGCTAAAGCCCTTGCTTTGAATGTACCAGGATCCCATATGGGTGCCAATTCTAATCCTCACAGCTCTACTTCCCATCCAGCTCCCTGCTTGTGGCCTGGGAAAGCAGTCCAGGACGGGCCAAAGCTTTGGGACCCTGCATCCACGTGGGAGACCTGGTGGAGGCTCCTGGCTCCTGGTTTCAGACTGCCGCAGCACCGGGCCATTGCGCTCACTTGGGGAGTAAATCATCGGATTGAAGATCTTCCTCTCTATTTTTCCTCCTCTCTGTATCTCTGACTTTGCAATAAAAATAAATAAATCTTTTTTAAAAAGTCCATTTTTATTTGCAGAAATTGTTATGTTAAAAATTGAATCTTCCAATCCACAAGTATGGCATTTTTTACTATTTTTTTTCTCCTGGATTTATCTAATGGGAGCTTTTCTTTTTTTCTTTCTTCCTTTTTTTTTTTTTTTGGCTTCTTTTTCTTTAAAATTTATAAGCCTTGTGGATGTGTGTGCTGTTTTCACATTATTGTAAGTGACTTTTAGAACACTAGAATTTATGTTTTGTTGTTGTATATGAAAACAGAGTTGAAGCTGCATGTTGATTTTGTATTGGTGATGGTCCCTGTTACTTTTTGTTTGTTTATCTATGAATAACAGAATTTTCAACATTTATAGCTATGCCATTTGGGAATAAAATTTTACTTTTTTTTTTTTTTACTCTGTAAATATTTATCTTCCCCCTCTCAATTTTTACCTTTATTAATTTGTTTCAGTTTTTATTATAATATTAAATATAACAGAGGCCAACATTGTCCCAGCCACGATCTTGCCATGGGGGGATGGGGATATTTAATCTTTCACCATTAATTATGTCAGCTGTATCTAAAAGAAAGAAAAAGAAAAAAAAACAGATTCCAGATCCAGCACTGTGATGTAGCTGGCTAATGTTCACGATGTTAGCACTCCACATTGAGATGTTGGTCGGATTCCTGTCAGTGTCACTTTGCATCCAGGTTCCTGCTGGTAACCCTGGGCACGCAGCAGGATATGGCCTGGGTGCTTAGAACCCTGCCACTCATACTCTGGGCTGAGTTCCTGGCTCCTGTCTTCATCCCGACTGAGATCCAGCTATGGCAGCCCGTACACATTGAGCAACTGATGGAAGAGATCTCTATTCTAATTTACTTCTTCCCCTCTTTTTTGTCATTCTGCCTTTTGAATAAATAAATATTTTTAAAAATAGGTGCCTTCCCTTTTCTAATTCTAGTTTACTGAGACTTTATAATATCATTATCAGAGTTAAATATTACCAAGTAATTTTTTCTAAATTCCTTGAAACTGCCACAGATTGTCTCCTATATTGTTTCAATATAGTAATCCACAAAGTTTTTCATGGTAAACATACCCTGCGATCTTGAGATGGTGTTAATAATTTTTATATAGTACTGTGTTTACTAAAATCATTTTAACTGTTGTGGTAATGAGGAATATTCATTTTTTTATTTGTATCTGATTTGGCACCAGCACAAGGCAGACCTCAATAAATGAAAGGGATAAATTCTTTAAGTGTTTGCTAGAATTCAACAGTGAAACCTAATTTTCTTTTAGTAATAATTTAACATTTTAACATAATTCTTTTAGTAGATATAGATACATTTTTTAAAATGCTTTATTATAAAACTAACAAAAGTATTGATTTGAATGATACAGTCAGACAAAGAGACATCTACCATCTGCTGATTTGCTCTTCAGTTTCCCATACAGTTCTGACTGAACCCGGTAAAAGAGAGGCCAGCCCATCTGAGCCTTCCACATGTGTGCAGGGACTCAGTTATGTAAACCTTCAGCTGCTGCCTCCAGGTGCACTTCAGCAGGAAGATGGAGTTGAGTGTAGAACTTGGAGTGGAAGAAAGCAGCTTAAGAGTTGTGCCAAATGCCTGTCCTACAAGTATTCATTAGCTATTTCTTTGGAAATCAGGTTTTGTGAGGTAACACTGTACAAAGGTACATTGTGCAGTTCATCTAAATTGCAGGACTTACTGACATAACACAGAACTTCCTTTTGGTATTCTAACAGTACTCTCAATGACACACCATCTGTTACTGGAAATTTACATATCCTTCCCTTTTCTTACTTGATCAATGAGACATAAATCCATTTCCATTATCTTAAAATCCTTAAATTTTGCTACTATTTATTTTTAAAATTTTTCACTGTAGTTTATTGTCTACTTTAGAGTTCTAACACGATTTGTTTTGTTTCAAATTTCCTATAATTTCAAATTATTTTAAAACAGAATATTCTGTTTTTATTCTTCTTAAAAATCATGTTATAAGGCATTTTTTGCCGATTAATATTTATATCTCTATGGTACACATTTGATACATGTATGCTATGTATAATGATCAAATCTGTGCAATACCATCTTCAAACTTTAGTTATTTCAGAGATGTTGAGATCGTGGTACTTTTAGTCCTCCAATTGACACTGTAAATGATAAACATTTTTAATATATGCAGCTAGATGAGTTCAGAGATCTGTACCTCGAAAACCATGATCACATGTATGTTATAAACATGGTAATTCCTTTAGAAGTTTCCTTTTGCTCTTTCTGTGTTTTTTATTGTGTGTTAAACTGTGTGTGATAAGCACATTTAACATATACATCTACCCTCTCAAAATCTTAATGTTGAAGAATTAGCTATATATAGGCATAATGAAGCTGAAAAGATGAAGGCACAAACACACACATAGTCACAGTGAGTGAGTGAGTAACTGAAACTGAGAGAAAGTGAGAAAGACTAACTCATGCATTAGCCAGACCAATCTCCAGATGTCCTTAAGAGTCAGGGTTGGGTCAGGTCAAAGCAAGGTGCCAAAAGGCCATTTCCATTACTTCCTAAATGGTTGTTAGTGTCCTAAAACATGGGCCATATTTCAAACGCCTCAAGGATGCATTAGTAGGAAGCTGCTGGAAGCAGAGGAGCTAGGACTTGAACCTGCTCCCTGACATGAGATGTGAGCATGCTAAGAACCAGCTTAATCTGTGTTGCCACAACATACATCCTTTGCATAAAATGTAAAGCTTGAAATGTTGTATTTTTTAATTGTAGACACTACATTATACATTAGATATCTAGGACTAACTCCTCTTACATAACTGGACATCCAACTAACACTTTGCTGTTATCCCTTCCCCAAAGCCCTTGGTAGCTACTGTTCAACTCTGTTTCTAAGTATTTGGTAATTCTGAATTCAGCATGTTGACAGGATCATGTATTATTTGTCTTTCTGTGTCTTGTTTCTTTTTGTCAGTACTACCTTCAGGTTTATTCCATCATCTATATACAGAACAATTTATTTAACTGTTCATTATGTATATTTAGGTTGATTTCATAATTTGGCCTTTGTGAAAAAAATGTTGCAAATTATGACAGTGAAGTTTTCACAATAAAATCTTCACTTGAATTCCTTTGTATGTAAATTCAAAAGAAAGACTGGTGGGTCATATGACAACTATAATTTTATTTTTTGAGAAATCACTGTGCTTTCTGTCTGTGCATCAAATTAAATTACACTTCCAGTAATTATGCATAAGATCCTTTCATTTTATTTTTTTTCTAAGCTTAAAACCACAATATTTTTTACACTGATTTAGACACAGGCTATCAGGGTAGATCTGTATGTCCACAAGCATGTGTATTAATAAGTATTAACACCTTCATGAGGATTTGACGATATTAGCAACTTTCAGTTTCCTAGAAGATGAGAAGCGGTAGGACATCAATAACACTTGCCTTTGAAATAGGACAACTTTGAGGGACACCGGTAAATACAGACGGTATTAACAATCACCGTATAATATTTTTTTTTAAAAAAAGCCTATTAATGTTACTGGACTATGAGGGCATGGTCATCCCAGATATACATAGAATTATTATATGGCATTAATGGGAAGAAAATAGAAAATGAGAAGAGTAGTTCAAAACATATTTTATCTGGACATGACAAAAAAAAAAATAGAAAGGCAACTAACACCAGACCCCACATCTTGCCTTGATAAATGTTCCTGATAACAAAATACAGGAAAATATTCTGCCTCCATTTACCCAGTAAACATTTTATCCTTTTCTGTTTCCATAAGAAAGAGATGGTTATTGTGTCCCTGCTAAGGCAGAGATTTAGCAAATATTAACATATAGGATTTGGGGTTTCTCAAAATAGATAGAAAAAAAAAGAACAAATTATTTTCTGTACTTTCTCCTAACTCAAATAAGGGTACAGATGTTAACTACTAGTCATTACTAATTAAGGATCTGATGCTCATTTGAATCTACAACTAATTTCCGGTGCCTTGTTCACACATGTGACAATCCAGAAATACAGCAACAAAAAAGAATAGTCTTTTTGATAGTATGTAGTGTCACTACCAGCCTTAATTGCTTCATTTTTACATCACTAATGAGCTTTTACAGTCTGCAGCTGTCATTATATTTTTAAAAATACACACAAATTTACCAATCTAAAAAGAGTAATACATACCTTTCAGGTGAGGGCTGTGTACATGCATTCTTTGCAAATGCAGATTTACAGGAACAAATTCTAATGTTTTCTCTCCTTTACTGCTGCTTGATTTGAAAGAAGACCCTAGGTGGAAAAAATTAAATATTACCACCAAATAAACAAATAAATGATCATTTTTGTGGGTATGTTTGAATGTATCTGTGCATGTTGAAGTGTCTGACAGAAAAATGATAGAAGAAATTTAAAGAAAAACATATCCCACAAGTTGCTTCTCTTCTCGCAAATTAGTTTTACTTGCCTGAGTTATTCTTATCCCATTAGATAGAGCAGAAGAATGTTCAACTCCCTGTTTTAGGTGCCAACATGATACAGTCAAAACTCAGTTTTAATTCCCCCATCTTTGGCTGTCTCATGTACATACCCATAATGTTTGTTATTGCTCTTTCACATAACACACAGAAAATGCAATCTAGTTTGAGTGAGACAAAAATCTGCATTCACACCTGTTTCCCGGTTGAGTTCTGTCAAAATGTCTTGATACATGTTCACCATTTGATCACAGTGAGTCAGGACATTTTTCCGTAGATTGTCCCAGTGTGGAGAAAGTTCACCAAGTTCTTTTAGCTCCTGGTTTCTGTTAAGAAATAAAAAGGCAAAGTTAATTTTTATCTTAATTCTTGGATACATAATCCTTAATCATGATTTTCAAAATCCATCTCTGGAAAGTTCTATAAGCTTATTAGCTTAAGATGAACAACAGCATAAAACACAATGAAAAAATACAAGCATAAATCACACATACAAACATTAACAAAAAGCAAAATAATAATAATAATAAATTTCCTTGCCAAAAATTTCAATAAGACAGGACATAAAACACTTGAAAAGCAACACAAAACTTTTAATATAAAGTTTATAAATTACTGGCTAACTTTAATTTTTTTTGTGAAAACAGCAATTTCATTTCATTTTATGACACAGTTTCAGAGGCTCTGGGATCCCCCCAACCACTCCCCATGCCCTTGCCCCATGGTGGATTCCTCCATCTTGTTGCAGTATTATGTTCAAATCCAGTCATGATTCTTTCATTGCAAGTTATCATCTCTCCCAGTGTTTGTGGTCATCTTCTTTGATTTAATGGAATAGAACATATTACTACTGCATCTTTTCTCTGAGCTCTTTCTAATTTTTGTGAACATTAGTTACATTCTAAACTTTTCCAAAGATTAGCTTTCTTCACACAACCTTCACAGGAAAGGACATGATTGATCAGTGGATGACAAGAGGAAAGACAAGAGGAAAGTAGACAACACACTGAAGAAATGGGAAGTTCAGTTCTCTAGTTGATTCTCTAGTTGCACTCAAATTACAGGATAGTCAAAGTCAAGATGAACGGCAAAGACAAAAACCAACAAATCATTCCAAGAGCTTTAGTTCTCTAACTCTAGCAGAGCTGGGAAATCAGATTACATCTGAACTAGATGATACAAGCGAAAAACCAGTATGTAAGTTTTCCAGAATTCAGTTATAATGAAGATATTATTTGAAGATACCTGTTTTAAGCCAATAGAGTCACCATTGTGTTACAACTGAAAATGGGTTTACGTCTTTAAATCCTCATCAGAAAGAATAATTGAAAGGGGCATGGTGAGACAAACAAGAAAGGGTGGTAGAGTGCCCCCTGACTTTACTGTAGGATATAGAGATGGGACTGTATGTCAGTATATCTCCCTTAAGAGATGATTGGAAAAATAATGGTCAGAATAGTTTAGCACTCTTCAGGAAAAGACCTGGAATAATATATGAGGAGTTAAAATGCATTGTAATATTCAAGGTACCACCTTTTATGCAGAGAATTACACAGATAACCCTGTTTGTTAAAAAAAAAAATTCCACTGAAAAAGTAAAAATTCAGAGAGACTAACAACCAATATAATGTTTCTTTGAATCGGTAAAAAGTTAATAGTGCCAGAGTGGTGGCATAGCAAGTTAGTTCTCAGCCTGAAGTGCTAGCATCCCATACCGATGCTAGTACGTATCCTAGCTGCTCCACTTCTGAGCCAGCTCTGCTTATGGCTTGGGAAAGCAGTAGAGAATGGCTCAAGATGTTGCAATCATTATATTAAATAAGGATACTGGGTACAAAAATCAGTTATTTTTTTAATCAGGAACTCTAGAGTTATATTTGCTTTATTGCAATTTAATTCATTCATTTGAACAAAAACTTCCACACTTGAAAATCTTGTTTATATCTCAGTACAGTTTCTCTAAAAAGAAAGACCAAGGATCGGGCAATGCCAGGTCAATAACCACAAGGAGATAAAAGAAAAACCGATGGAGGGAAAATGAGAGAGCACACACAGGTGGTACATTACCGATTCAGAACTTCAGAAGGGAACAGGACTAGTTTCTTGGTTATGTTGAAAATGCCAGGAAAATTATTGGAAAACCCTGTAGCTTGAGATAGTTTGTTAGATGGAGAGATTGGCATATCAGTTCCTTACTAGATTCTATATTTCATTGGTAACAATTCATCCTGTGTGAAAGTAACTCCCTGCACTCAACTATAAAATATGTTCCTGCCAGTGCCAGAAGGGAAGAACACAGGAGCTGGCAACATTGTTGGCTCTGCTCTGAAAAGAGATGAGGTTCAGACCCAGTGAGGCAGCTCCCTTGGTAGGTGCTACTGAAGACAAAAGTCAAGTTTTCACCATAATGGACAATGTTACAGTTAATGGTAAGTCTGTGCTGACAGTGGCAATAGACAGAGCTCCCTACTAACCAAATGACCAAGGTTTGGTAGATATTTTTTCGTTGTACCAACTGAGCCAAAATATGCAATCACTTGCATAACTGAGATGTACTTGCATCAATTACTTACAGCTCAATAACTTATAAAAACAAAATGATTATATTTTCCCAAGTGCAGCCCAATAAAATCCTTTAAGCCAATTACCAGTTATAAACTTCTGAAGTCTGAAAAAGAGGTAACAAACTCAACTACAGTGTTCAATGTTCCAGTTGATTCTTATGAGAAATTCATCAACAATCTCCAGTATCACTCACTTTCTGATTTTCCATACACTCTGCCAGCATTTAACTGTCAATTGCTGCCTGAGAGAATAAGTTCTTTCTTTGCTTTTAGATTCTTGCTTGCTATAATTGCCCATCTACATCTGTGCATGGGATATCTCTGAATCTCCAGACATAATCTTTTTGCTCAGATTCTGTAGCACTAGTTCTATCTGTAAAAGATGATTCAGAACTATGTTACCATTTTTGCTACTTGACTGCCATGCGGAATACATATATTCAATGAGAAACAGATGGAAAATTCTAGCCATGAAGAATGCAACAGCCTGTATCAGCTACAGATTTAGCAGGTTCACCCTGAAGGACAGGGACCCAAATATTCAGTATTTTCTTCCATATTGGAGCTGTAGCTGAGCTTTTTATGATTGATGTTATTCCACTTTTCTATCAGATCTGCAGCTTTTGCGTGAGGATGTAAGTAATGATTCTGAACATCCTAAACATTATCACACTTTCTTTAATGTAACAAAACATGTCTCTAGGTAACAGCAGCGTTAAGTAAGCAACATCCTATTGATTGATGCATCTGGAAGCCATCAGATGTAAGTTCCAACAATGGCACTGGGAGGGCAAAAGAAAACACATTTTCAGACTATAATTCACCCACTTAAGAAAAATTATGTTTCCTTCCAATGTGGACATGCTCCAACTTAATTTGGCTTGTCAATTAAGCTTTCACCAAACATCTGTTTTGTCTCTAAGGAACCATGGAGCAATGGGACCAAACTAGTGGTTATTATCAATCTGTGTTTGCAACTAACAGTTTATAGTGATAGTAGTTATGTTGCCTTGGAAATGGGTGCCACATGCTTGGATCCATTCCACATCTCTGTTTCTGTCATCAGGTTTATTCTCTTGGGAGTCCACTGTACAAACTCATGGGTAGACTGCAAAGGAGGTTGGCTAACATCCATTGGACAGGAAAAATAAACACCTGGTACATGAGTTTCCTTTGTGGTGTCTACACTAAAAAGCCATTGAAACATAAAGATGTTTTATCCTCGCTACTGCAGGATTTTTCATGTATCTAGTGTCCACGTCCCTTGTATACCATTTTTCTTCTATTTTCTTCCAGTTGCATAAGGCCATCAACCCTTCCAATGCCCTGTTTCTGAGTGTATCTGGACCTCACAGCATCTTTTTCCCCACAAATGTAAAGGACAATGTACAAACAGCAGATTTGCCAGAAGGATGATGAATTTCCTTCACTGTTGATACTAAGTCTACACAAACCATCAGGCTAACATATCTTCCTACCAGTTTAAGTTATCTCCTCCAATGTGAGTTAGGCACAGGAGAACTTGTATGTAGTTATAAATGTGAGCTGACATAGAATTATCAGTAGTATGACAAGATGGGTAAAACAGGACTGTCTCTTACAAACATATGAATTCAGTTTCAACTGTATCGTTCTCATATAAAAACACATCATGCCATAACATACAGTGGGACTGAATCAATATTCAGTTTGCAATGTCTCCAGTCACAAGGTGCCTTTGTATCGTCATCCTCAGTGTTGCATTCCCCAGGAAAATGCCAGATCGCACCTACTACACCTGCATGGTATTTGCGTTTCTTTTTTTCCTTCTTAAGATATATTATTCAAGAATATATACTTTTGTCATAAAAATCATAATCTTAGAGATGTCACAGCCATAAAGAAGATTAGAAAAAATATGAAATCTCTTGTTAAACATATGGAGAAATCTAACTAAAATCATTTAGTTTCAGAATCAGTAGAATACCAAAAATCTTCTAAGATAAAATAGCCATGTCTACTTTTCTGTTACTTCTTCACTGTAGAAAGAAACACAAAATAAGAAAAACACAAACAAAAACGTGTATGTTTGATTGATATTAAGGAGTGAGATGTAAAATGTGGGATCTTGATTTTCAGAACTATGTATGTAATTTTTCTATTCATATGAACAAAGTTATATTTCTGGATTTAAAAAAATCTGAGTATTTTAGTTTGATTGGAACACCTATTTTTGTATTGCAACTAATACTTTTAAATACATGTTCTAGGGCATTAATACTGGAATTCAAATGATAAGATTCAAATGACACCAAAGACCTGTGGTTCAGTCTCCATGTGTTGCTTCACTATTTAAAGCAGGCACCTAGCAAGAATGCTATCAGCTGCATAGTGACATTCTTTAAACAACTTATGTATGTGTATATGTATTTATCTATTGTTGGAAAGGCAGAGTTATATAAAAAGGAGACACTTAGAGATCTTCCATCTGCTGACTCACTCCTCAAATGGCTGCAAGGGCTAGAGCTGAGGGCAACATCAAGTTTGGAGTCAGAAGTTCCTTTCAGGTCTCCCAATGGGTAGAGTGGCCCTAGAATTTGGGCAATCCATTGCTGCTTTTCCAGGTCATATCAGGGAGTCAGATTGGAAATGGAGCAGCTGGGACAGGAGCTGGCTCCCATATGGGATATCTGTGCCACAGAGGCCTGAACATATTTTCAGTAAGCTTTCCAAATCAATGAACACTGGGTTTGTAATATGTCATTACATTTTTAATTCATAGA